AACTCAAAATAAGAAGAAATAGCTGCAAACATCCATTGATAATTGGAATGTGGAATGTAAAAAGTATGAATCTAGGAAAATTAGAAGTCATCAAAAATGAAACGGAAGCACAAAAATCAGAATCCTAGGCTTTAGTGAGATAAAACTGACTGGTATTAACCACTCTGAATAAGACCATCATACGGTTTACTATGCTAGGAATGACAAGTTGAAAAGGAACTCATCAACAAAAAGATCTGTCTTGAAGTATATAATACTATCTGTTATAGGATAATATCTATATGCCTGCAATGAACACCAGTTAATAAAACTATTATTCAACTTATAATCAACCACTCAAAGCCAGTGATGAAGAAATTGAAGAGTTCTACCAACTTTTTCTTTCTGGAATTGATCAAATATGCACTAAAAATGCATTGGTAATTACTGGTGATTGGTACAGAAATTAGAAACAAAGTAATTGGAAAATATGACCTTGGTGGCAGAAACAGTGCTGGAGACTGCATGACAAAATTTTGCAAAACAAATCTATCAGCACCGTTCCCCCAACATTTTTTTAAACAACACAAAAGGCAGCTATACACATGGACGTCAAGCAGTAGAATGCACAGGAATAAAACTGGCTACATCTGTGGGGAGAGACGAGAAAGAAATTCAATTTCATCAGCCAAAACAAGGCCAGGGGCAGACTGTGGAACAGAACATCAACTGCTAATGTGCAAGTTCAGGTTGAAGCTGAAGAAAATTACATGATGATCAAAATATGATACTGAATATAGTCCACCTATATTTAGAGATCATCTAATGACCGAAGGCCACAAGTGTTGTGGGATGTTAGCAAGAATGTCATACATAAAGAAAGCAAGCGATCATTAAAAAGATGGGAAAGAAAGAAAAGATTAAAGTGGATGTCAGAAGAGACTCTGAAACTTGCTCTTGAACATTGCTGTCAAGTAGGTTCCAACTCATGGGGAACCTATGTAGGGTTTCTGAGGAGCAGTTTGAACTACTAACCTTGTGGTTCACAGTCCAGTGTTGATCCTGCAGTGCCACACCAGTTCTTGAACATAGAGAAGCTAAAGTTAATAGAAGAAATGATGAAGTGAAGGACCTCAATAGAAAATCTTAAATGCCAGCTTGAGAAGAAATATTAATGTATTATAATGAAATGTGCAAAGACCTGGCGTTAGAAAGCCAAAAAAGAAAGAAAAGTTCAGCATTTTTCAAGCTGAAAGGACTGGAGAAAAAATTCAAGACTTGCAATATTGAAGAATTCTATGGACAGAATACTGAACAATGTTAAGAAGCATCAAAAGAAGAGGGAAGGAATATACAAAATCACTGTACCAAAAAGAATTGGTTGGCATTCAAACGCTTCAAGAGAAACAACTGCAATGAAGGAAGACGTCCAAGTTGCACTGAAGACACAAGTGAAAAACAAGACTCCAGGAATTGATGCGAATAAAAATTGAAATGTTTCAACAAACTGATACAGCACTGGAAGCACTTATTAGCCTATGCTAAGAAATTTGGAACACAGCTACTTGGCCAACTGACTGGAAGAGATCCGTATCTGTGCACATTCCAGAGAAAGATGACCCAATAAAATACAGAAATTATCAAACAATATCATTGATATCCCACACAAGTAACATTTTGCTCAAAATAATTAAAAAATGGCTGAAGCAACACATCAACAGAGAACTGCCAGAAATTCAAGCCAAATTCAGAAGAGGACTTGGAATGAGGGTTATCACTGCTGATGTCATAGGATCTTGGCTGAAAGCAGAAAACAAAACAAAGATTTTTTATTTGTGTTTTTATTGACTATGTAAAGGCATCTGACTGTGTGAATCATAACAAGCTATGGATAACATGGTGGAGAATGGGAATTCTAGAACATTTAACTGTGCTCATGAGGAACCTGTACAAAGACCATGCGGCAGTTGTTGAAACAGAACAAGGTGATACTGCCTGGTTTAAAATCAGGAAAGGTGTGTGCCAGAGTTTTATTTTCACCATACTTAATTGACCGGTATGCTGAGCAAATAATCTGAGAAACTGGAATATATGAAGAAGAATGTGGCATTAGGACTGGAGGAAAGCACATATGATAACACAATTTTGCTTGCTGAAAGTGAAGAGAACTTACATGTTTACTTATGAAGATAAAAGAAAACAGTCTTCAGTATGGATTACAACTCAAAGTAGAGAAAATGCAAATCCTCACCACTGGACCAATAAATATCACAATAAATGGAGACAATATTGAAGTGGTCAAGAATTTCATTTTACTTGGATCCACGATCAATGCTCACGGAAGCAACAATCAAGAAATAAGATGCACTGGGGAAATCTGCTGCAAAAGGCCTCTTTAAAGTGTTAAAGAACAAAGATGTCACGTTAGGACTAAGGCCAAGGTATTTTCAAAAGCCTTATATGCATGTAAAAGCTGGACAATGAGTAAGGAAGACCAGGGAAGAGTTGATGCATGTGAACTATGGTGTTGGCAAAGACTACTGAAAGTACCAAGGACTGCTTTAAAAAACAAACAAATCTGTCTTTGAAGAAGTCCTGTCAGAATGCTTCTTAGAATCAAGGACAGCAAGACTTCATCTCATGGACTTTGCCCATGTTATGAGGAGGGCTCATATTTTGAAAAGGATATAATACTTGATAAAGTGGAGGATCACTGAAAAAGAGAAAGACCCCCAACAAGAAGCAGTGGCTGCAACACTGGGCTCCAACTTAACAATTTTGAGGCTGGATCAGAACCCAGCAGTGTTTCATTCTGTTGTACATAGAGTTTCTATGGGTCGGAACTTACTCACCAGTACCTAACAACTAACAAATTAAACTCTTCCAAATGATCAGAGTTACCATAAAATTGTCCTCTGAGTATACGATGTCAGAAAGCATAGAGCAATCTTCCTTAAGTTACCTCTGGATAAGCTGCTGGAAAAGAATGAAGGTGCGATCCCACAACACTTGTTTGTTTTTTGTGATGGGGTCGTGGTCATAGGTGTATTTCTGCTCCAATTCCTCCAGCTTCTTGAGCTGCTGTCGAACCTGCTGCAGACTCTCCGCAACAATGGTAAACCTGGAAGGGAAGAAGCATAGGTGTCTCAGTTATAAACGGCCCAAAGAAGACTGAAGTCGTCAAGGACTTCATTCTTCTTAGATCAACCATCAACACTCAGGGAAGCAGCAGTCAAGAAATCAAATGACGTATTGCATTAGGCAAATCTGCTGCACGAG